GCTGGTTGACCCACTTTCCCTTGGAAGGAATCACCTTCACCTAATTGGAGCTATTCCAAAATATGAGGCAGGGAAAGGATATAAAAGATTCAGATGATGGGTTCCACAGAGGGTGCTCTGCAGCACAGAAGTTGCACAAGAGGGATCATCTCTAGTGCAAGCAGAAAGGAAAGAGTCAAGAGGTACAAAGAAAACTTCTGAGCAAGGCCTCTCCAGTGACCAGCATGTTAGACAGAGAAAGAGCTGGAGGGAGCTGAGAGCACATTGCACTGCCCATCTTTGTAACAATCTCCAGGTGTTTCAGGTGGCAGCCGTATTCCAGTTTGTTCTGATGTCAGACTTGGGCCAGTCCCATCTCCCTGATGAGATGTTTAAGACAGACAAAGTTGGCTCAGAGTCAAATTTGCCTTATACCATCCCTGCTGACCCCAGACAGCTACAGTATTTTGGCAGATAGCCAAAATCTCAGGGAACAGAACTTGCAAAGAAGAGATAAAGCAGACCAGCTCCACATCTCTCATTTGGTACTGGTTAAGTCTCTTGCCCTTCTCTCACTGCTCACCTTCTTGTGCGGAGCATTTCACAGGGGTAATAGACTCCAACAGATAAACCGTATCTTAAACAAACAAACAATCCCTCAGATGCACTTTTTTTGTTATAAAGTAAAAGGTGCTTGAAAGCCTTAACCCGGTAAATCTCTCTCTTAGTAGCTAACATATTTGAAGAAAGGGTTTGGACACACACTGGACTGCCCTGACACTCTCGTTTCTTATGTTAGGAACATGTCTGCACTCATTAGCTCTTGATAATACTCGACACTCATTTTAGTAGGGAATGGCTTGAGAGATTAAAGCCTTCTCTGAGCTAAAGTGGTTTTCATCTGCCTTCCATGTTCAAGCAGGAAGAAGAGGTCTGAGGAACGCCTGTAGTTCTGCACCCCTTCTGAGGTCAGGAATAGCCAGATAGAGGAACATATAAATAGCCATTTCAGCCCAGCCACTACCGAGCAACACATGAACCTTAGAAACATGGCAATACGGAAAGAAAAAGAGGTTCACAAAGCTGGACATGCAGCAAAGAGCTCACACTGAAACTGCGCTGGAGGCACACAAAGGGAGGACTGGCTTGGTTTGCTCAGCCGTAAGAATGGGGCATGGCTCTGTCTGATAGTGTGCCGGTATGCTCTGCAAAATCTGAGCAGTTGTGGGCAAAATGAGAAGGGAACCTCAGAGAAATTTTGGACACAGAGATATTAGCCACATAAATGGTGAAAGTAGTTCCCTGAAGATATAACTCTGGCAACTCAAGTGAGGAGGAGCTGATTAATTCCTTTTAGGCATCCACAGAGAGAATAATATTCAGAGCTGTTGAATTATTCCTCATCAGGTGCCTATTCCTATCAAAAGAGAAACTATACATGTTCAGGAATTCCATAACTGCTCAGGCATTTCTCAACAAAGCCGTGATGGAGAAAAGCCAAACCATTTCCAGAAATGAAGCTGAGATAGGATGAAAACATCAATGCTGTGATTAAGTTTCACCACATGAGACTTCATGGAAGAAACCAGCATTTACTGTAGTGCTATACACCTGTGGTCAGACGTTTTATATTTTTAGACGCAGACAGACACCAAACCAGTTTCCCCCGAACATCACAAGTATCACCTTCAAACTCCCACTGTTTTCAAAAGGATTAACCACATAAAGAATTTTGCCATTTGAAGATGCGTTTCACTGAGCTTAAATCACTTCTCTGTTCTCATTTGCCTCACACCAGTGAGCAGTTAATTACATTGGCAGTGGAGGGAGCAATAAAATTAGACCAGTGCTTTTGGTGCAGGGTGTCTCCAAGCCTGGATTGACAACACACAGGGTTATTCATGGCAGGGGCTGCCTCAGGTCTCCTTGCAACTTCTCACAGAATGAGCCCCCATAAAGGGGACACGAGCCTTCATCTCTGGCAGGAAACCTTTTCTCCTTCACAAGCTACCTGCACCCCCCAACAACATAATTTTTTGTCATGTATTTGGAAGAAGATCAAGTGTGTTAGAGTTAGGGAGGATCAAGAGACAGCTTCTTCCAAAGTGCAAAGTCTGCTAGTGAAAGCTGGTCCTGGTGGAGGACCAAGGCTTCTCACCCGAAGGTTCAGCTATATGTCACGTCTGGAGCCCGTACAGGCAGTATGTGAATTCCAAAATCACCTGCTAGAGACAAGACGCCAAAGAGAGGCCAAAGCTGGGGGAATGGCCTAATTTTTCTCAGCTAAACATAGCATTATATCTGTGGGGTTTAGCGGGAATAATTTGCACGGTTTTACTCAGCAGGTGTTTTCTAGTTGTTGTGTTCAACTCTTCCCTTAGGCCTTATGTTTATCATACTGTAATTAGCCCAAATACAGGGACAGGATCACTGTCTTCATAATTTCGAGCTGAGTCCATCAGAATCTGCATAAATCATGACATTTTCCTGTTAGCACATGTATCACAACTCTGAGTTGTAACTGCAAGTTTCACCCCACGTTAAGAAGCATGCAAGAATAGATGTCAATGCTATTGGGGCAAAACCACTCAGGGATGTTCTTGTATTTCCAGAGAGAAAAGGAAGAAAAAAGAACCAAACCTGGGGTGTGCCTAAGTACTGGAGGTTAACGACAAGCCCAGAGACTTGCCCCCACCTGCAGGAGGAGCTGAAGCCTGTTATCCTATTGCCAAGGGGAACAGCACATACATTCACCCGTTTCTGTACCTGGATGATTTACAGAACAAAAAAACCAGATGTGGAGTAGATCAACAGCAGGTGATATTTGCTATACATCTATATTCACTCCATATACAGAACAAACCTTCTTGGGTTTGGCAAAAGAATATGGAATAGCCAGTGTCCTTTGTCCACATGCATGTATACTCTCAGAACATGATCTGGCATATGAAGACAGCAACCGACTTGTTCCAGCTGCTTCAGAGCTGGGATAAAAACTCAGGATGGGTTTGTTCCCACCAGGTCTGAGGACTGCTCCATCTGGCAATCAGTGCAGTGCCTCACAAATATCTCAGAAGCGCACAGATTCAGGCATAGTGCATGCATAACATGCCACCAGAGTTCAATAAAATAAATTGGAAGGAGCAGAAGTAATTTTCAAAGCACAATTCATAGGAAGCCTAGGATGATTTACAGAAGCTAGAGGCTGCAAGCTGACAGGAAAATAGCTCCTCACAAATTACTTATCTTTCAGGTCAGTCACTTGAGAGAAATATAGGATGGTCAAGAATCACTACCAAGGTTTGATTTGTATGCAGAAGGGCTGCTGTTCATTGCAATGACTCTCTTGTAAAATACGGACTATGAATATGTGTGTTGCCTAGAATAAGAGTTGCTTGTTTCCCTACTTTGTATAGATCTCAAGTTCTTCAAAGATAAACCAATATTTTACAGCTGGAAAAGCAAAAAACCTCACAGAATTAGTATTTCATTTCTATCTGATTAACAACTCAATTATAACAACACTGTATTTGCCGTTGTTCCACACAAGTTACAAAACTGGCATAGGGTATAGCTTGTTCTTGACCCCTCTTTCTAAGGGGTTCTTAAAACATTCCTAGAAGTCACCATAAACAAAAGTTTCCATACCTAAAATAAAGCACCAGCAGCAAACTGTACCAAGAAAAAAGCTAGTCCGACAGCCACCACGTGCAAATGCACGACCTTTATGATAAAAAACAGTGCTTGAAGACTAAAAGGAAGGCTTTAATTTAGTTTCTTTAGGTCTCTTATTATTAATTATTATTATTAGGTCTCTTATCAGTAATTATTGTGGGCCAGCATCATCGAAAGCTGATGGTAGCAGATACAGGATGTCAGGAAAAGTATTCTGGATACCTGAGATGCATTTGGCATTTCCGTAATTCAAACACAACACTGTTACCAATCTGCATATCCACCATCCAGCCATTCAAAACAGTAAGTGGATCCTCTGAGCTTCCCTTTAACAGTTAACAGTTCTACTAAAATATATTTTCATTTGCTTTCCTTTACATTTCAAATTTGGCCCATGTCTGCTACATTTACTTTTTCTTTTTTTTTGGTGGTGAACTAGAATGTAACCTCACAATAAAAATTACATCTTAGCAACACTAACAGCTTGATTTGCAATGATTTGTCTACCTCTTTTCAGCACTAATTATGCAAGATTCAATTGCTATAACTGCAACCAGAAGCTGAAATAATAATGAAGTTCAAAATTAAAAGTAACGTACCAAACGTGCTCTGCTCACCTAAACAAGAATTAAAACCAGTGGCAGCTTTTTTATCTTTACAGTTCTTAATTACTTTCGTCTTTAGTGGCTGATCTGAGGTCTGGAGATGTCAGCAGCTGCAAGGAAAGGGAATGACTGCCTGAGACAACTGCTGTCCTCACACAGAGATGGTCAGAGTTCCTGGTGACATCTTTTTTCTGTCTGGAAATGTTATTTATGTGAAATATGAAGATTTTGGATGCATTCCAAGATTTCCTAACATTAAGAGGACAACCAGAGCTTGGCCCTTCAGTGCTTATCAGCCTGTAACATAACGGTACTAAGTGGATGCAGTACAGCACCACGAAGCAGGATTTATAGGTAGCTACGGAATTTCCCTCTATACCATACAGCCTTGGCTTCCCTGGTAGCAGGCCTCTTTGAAACACCAGGTCAGGTCAAGCTTACCCACATAAACAGGTTGCTCCGTGACAAAATGTCACTCTTGTTATAACTTAGAGCCCAGATTTGCAGTCAGATCCACTCAGGAACAGGTTGTAGTGCATATGGCCTGGACTGCCTCTTTGTTCCGGTTCTGTATTTGTCTTGTTTCTGAGAGATTACCTTGATATAAAGCCCAGTTTTTTCTTTTTCAAATTAACAGCTGGAATATCTTATTTTGGCATTATTTATAGCACATTATATGCTCATGTCCTTTCAAATTTATAGATAACACTGCACTTTCAAATGAAGAAAAACAAAGAAACGATCTTCACTTGATAACATTTATTCAATATTTTCTGAAATAAGCAAGAATTTTAAGAAGCCCAGAAGCCATCAAATACAGCCACAAAACCCCCATACTGATCCTAAATAAGAAGCACTATGAGAAATACACAACATTTCATGAAACAGTACTGTACATCAACAACCTTTAGGAAACAAACAATTCAAACCATATGATTATTTTACTCACAATATAAAAAACTTTAACCTTTAAAGAAAAATATAGATTCAGTCCAATTGTAGGATCCAATCCCATGCCCACTGAAGTCAATGGAAGTTCTCTCATTGATTCCAATGTTTAAAGGATCATGCCCTTACTTTGCCTCAAGAGGCACTTTAATTATTATACAAGGCCTAGCCTGAATACTATTACAAAAATGTCAAACATCAACTGAAGAGTATGTTTCAGCAACTTTCAGGAAATAATGGAGAAATAGGTTATCTATCCATGCATGGAATAAGGCAAAAGCTAATTCATTCAGATTAGGAATAATAATTTTTACTAGTTTCTTTTTCACAACACAAACATTTTAGACTTTTTTAATTAATGGATATATTATATATCATATTATGCTTCACGTTTTTCCTACCTCTACTGAGAAAGCTGGCACTGACATGTCATAAAGAACTCCTCATTAATTGTTGTTTTCTGTTCTGTAACGACCACAAGAAACTCATCTGGGTTTAGTAATAGTGTCTACCAAGAAAAAAGCACACACTATCATAAGCTTATAATTTATAGAGCTCAAGGTACATTAAAATGTAATTCATGAAGTTCACAACTTCTGTTTTAAAATATTTTTCCAAACTAAAAGCTGCAGAAAATTGGTTCTTAAATATTCTACAGAAAATTCTGAAGCATCTAATGGTTTAAATTACTTATGCTTTCTTCTTAAAAATATTTAAATTAGGTTAGTAGCCCATCCTTTTGAAAAATAATCCAAAAAAGATACACTAGATTACAAATCTTTTGTCTTAATCAGTGTAACCAAAGGTTTGTCATCTGGGCTGTAATCTTCATAAGCAATGGGGGTTGCATCATACATTGCAGGTCGGGATTTCTTGCCAAACCTGGAAACAAAAGAAAGCTTTTGGTGACAAACAGAAGTATGAATGAGTTAATGACAACAACCCACTGCGTTACGGTGTGTGCTTTATCAGAGAGCAAGAGTGAAACTAATACAGTTTCAGGAAGGCCAGAATTTTATTTTAAAGCCTGCTCTATCAGTCAATATTAAGGTCAGGTCATATATGTTTACAAAAAGTAAATAATGGACAACTATGTGGTATTTGCATTTGGAAATGCAGTATCTGTGCACTGAATTGAGTTAGAAGCTAGAGTAAAAACTTAAGTCTGCTTACCTGACATCCACTTGAGAAGCATGTTTATGTTATCAACATGCTGCACTATGCAACACTGGCAAAATTAATGGTAGTTAGAATACTGCAATGCCATGTAAACATACTAGTCTAGCAAAGGTTCACAAGCAACAGAATCACATCTGCAGCATGCTCCTCCTGGGCAGCCATCACTGCTAAGAACCAGGCTATATCTGCCCATGCAGAGAACCGCTGTGGCTGTATGATTGTGGCCCCAGTGCTGGCATATCTGGAACTTCTTTAGGTGTTTTTGCACTGCATAGACAGTCTATTGCCCTTCTGATGATTTTTTAAGATACAAAAATAGTGCTAAAAATGCAACCTGAAAGTGGAAAAATTACTAAAGCATTCTGACTACAGTTACAGGAGCTTCTAAATAACAAAAAGGATCACATGAAAATCAGGCAGAAAAGGGTCAAGTCTGCCTTCCTTATGGACCTGATGCAGAGAAAATACTAACACATAAAAAGAAATACTTATTTATGTAGTCATCCACTCTTTTATATACCAGATAATATGGTCTATATTAAAGATGTGTCTATAATAAAGATGTGCACCATGGAAGATGAGATTCAGAAAATTTCAATTTTGAGGATATTTAGACCAAACCAAAATTAGCTTGATTTTCTTCCAAGATTTTTATGCAACTTCACGACTCTTCCAATTTAATTCTTGGCTTTTTCAGCGATCTAGAATTGCTGACAAAACTTAAATAGCTGAAAGAATTATAATCAGTATGGTGGAAATTTCATTTTTTAAAATACTTCAGCTGTCAGTAAGGCCACACTAGATACATTTCCATGATAGAACGTCTGCTTTCTTCTATAGTTCTCTTTGATAAATACAGACAGGGCATGTTTGCTCATCAGTGTCATGATCGATAAACCTGATTTTCTTTAAATGAGATAAAATTCCAAGAATTGAATGAAGGAATTAAATTATGGCATCTTCCTAAATCAGAGGCAGCAATGAATTCTGAATCATTCTTTTTTTCCATCACTTTCAAGGGTTTAAAGGAAATAGAGGTTTGCCATTTCTGACAGGGAGAGAACACACGGCTTGTTGCACACAGTGAGGCAGTACAAAATCTGTTCGCTTGTGGAGGTCAGGGTTGACATGTGGCCCTGATTAGAAAATGCTGAGAAAAGACCACAGCACATGTGCTAGTTGTTTGTGGCCTGGTTGAGCCATCTAGCTGGTAGACCACATTGCTTTGATCAAGCAGTTCAGAAGCCAGTCCCTGCTCATAGCAGTAAACAGAGTTAACACAAACCTCAGAGGTGTCAAAACAGAATTGTTAAATGGGGGGACTTAGTTCAATGAGTGTCTATGTGGTAGGATTGCACAAGGATGCTATTTTATCATTTAATTGATGACATAAAAAAAAGCATAAAACAATTATCAATACAATCTGCAAGACAACGATTCAAGGGGTAATAAACAGTGAAAAGATGCAGGGCCCTGCTACAGAGTGTACTGGATCAATTAATAGGCTGCTTACAACAAAAGCACAAACAAATGAATAAAGATTTCTTCCAGTGCAGCCAAATACAGATTATTCACCATACAGTCCTGGGAAGCACCAAGTCTGGAAAAAGACTGGAGCGACATGATGAATAATCAGTTTAACATTAGCTTTAATGCCATACTATGTTTCATGAAAAATTACGTGCTTGCTTAGATCAATAAACAGAGTGTATCATCAGTTGGGCTAGGGAAATTTTACAGCCTCTAGATTTAGCATTCATGTGTCCATTCATGAGTGATGATCGCATTCCAATGTGAATTTACCAGTGGCATAGGGATCACCATGAATCAAATAAATTACAATGAGAAGTAGAAAATATATTTTGCAATGAAACACTGAATAAGAGTGACCTGTGTAACCTGACAGAGACTGAGGGTTCTGTGACAATTTTGGTGACAGTGTAGGAATTATTCTTGGCACAGACAACTCCATGCATGAGTGTGTACATATGTGTGTGTAACAGAGACTGCAATTCTACTTTGCATATGGAATGGGGTTGCCTCTCTTCTTCCTTAGAAGGACATTTCAAAAGATGGGTAACCATAGAGAGTCATTAACTTCAACAACGCCATTTGCGTAGAAGACTTTTAAGAACATTGGGTGGCTGAACCCTAAGGAAATGGTATCCTCCAACTTCTGTGGGATAGGCTGGAATTTCAGAGTTTGCCCAGAAGCAAAAGAAAAAACCCATGTGTTGCTACTCTGTTCGAAACAGCAACTGGTAAAAGAAGCCTACAAATAATGCTTAAATGAGAGAGACCAGAATTTATTTTTTTTCTGTAAAGCCTCCATAGGAGGAGAATGAGAATATTAATTTCCTCTGCATTGTTCACAGAAAAGGCCATGTGCACAAGTGGTATTTTGAGTTCCTTAGTATAACTGAACTACGATTCTAGAGTTCTCACAAAGTTGAGACTCTAGCAGAGGATGTATATAAGCAATTGGCACGTGCTGTGGAGAGCAGAGTATTATGCACGCGATCATACTTTCACAAAGAAGTAGCAGACTGAAACTCAGCACTGAAATCTCTGCCAGGTAGCGGTAAGAATCGAGCATGTGCTGAAGCTCATCAGATTCAGGAAGCTCAGGACACTGGAGTCTAACACAGCTGATTTGAACATACGAATATGGACAATGTGCAGTGGAGAGAAGCTTACCCTGTTGTGTCAAAAATCAGAGTCTGATGAACCAGACTCTTCAACCCACACACAGACAGGTCAAAAGCCAGCACATGAAAGTAAAAATTGCAGGAACTACACTAAGTAGTGCATGAAGTCTACTGCTAATGCTATCGAGACACACAAAAAGTTTATAGTAATACAGTCTCTGTAAGCAAATATTTTGTGAACTCAGTGTGGATGCTTTTCTAAAGTGAACAATCCAGTTTCAGCAGCAGATCCTGGTCCCAATTCAATGAAGTCTTATGGCTGCAGTACCCAGTGGTTAACTATTTCATTACCGTGTGCTCTGCTGGCTTTAAAATAAATAGGCTTTAACATAAAGGGAGTATGTATTTACTGTCTGCATAATGAATACTAAAGAGATCTGTGCTTCACCTAGTTAAAAACCTATTTAGTTCTAATCTGCTAATCCTAAAAACATTCACTAGAAGTAGATATTTATTAGCGATGATCCTTGAGCATACTCATTTTCTCTCACAGCAAGTACCTTGACTAGTAAGGTCAAATTATAAAAAATAATTATGAAAAAAACCTGCTGAGAAACATGAACAAGTAATTTCAAAATAATTCACTGGACATGCAACAGGCTTCCACACTCCCTGGACACCTACTGACTTTAACAGAAAACTTACATTTAAAGAAAATAGTCTGCTCATTATTACTTAGGCCTCCGTTTTCCAAAATTACTAATAAATTTGGGCATCTAACTGGGAAAGGGAATGATTTTCAGAAAATGCCAAGAATCTATTCTTTGAACGTATACCTCCTAGATACAGCAATTCTGAAAATTCAGATCTTGGTATTTTTTACATGTAGATGGAAGAGTTTACACCCAAAAAAAAAAAAAAAAACAAAAAAAACCCCCCCAAAAACCACAACTATAAAAGTTGTGCTCTTTTTCCTGTATTGAAATGACCAAAGCAGTGTTTTATGACCTTCTGAAACCAAAATAAACACAATAATCTTAACAGTAAACCTCTGTGAATTACCTGACTTGGCAGCTTTATCTTGGATTTTTACAAAGCATCCACTCTCTGAGAGTAACAGGGACTTATTTGGAATGAAAACATTTCTTTTCGTTTACATTAAGTAGAAACACCTTTCCCAAGATATGGAAACCCTTTACTGACTGTATCAAATAATGTAATTTTTAACTGAGTAGTATGGATCTGAAAAATCATCATGAATATATCCCAGTCTAAGAACTTCTCCAAAATGTTAATTTAATGTTGATGAAAATATATTTTTCTAAATTCTGCCTTCAGAAATAAACACAGATTATTCAGAATAATCCAGACAGTAGTGATAAAGGAGTCAACTAGCCCAGCTTCCAAGATTTGAAAAGATTCATACAGGAAATGTTTTTCCATTTCTATTACCTGCCAGTGAAAGTGTAAAAGCCAGGGAAAGTGCAGATTAACAAGATCCTGCCTTGCTTTTATGCTTTTACTTGATACCCTTAGATAGAAAGCTGCCTAATTTGCTTTAAGAAATAATTAAGAAAACCCAGGTGTTTCACACTGATCCTCAGGCGACCATTTCCAGTCCTTGGGGAAACGCAAAGTACCACTTCAGCAAGTAGTAACTGAGAAGGATTGACACGTTTATCACTGCTGCAGTAGGAGCAGGGACATGTTTTATTTGAACACTGTCAGTTTGCACCTTGCTCTCCACCCTCGGAGATATGCAGTAGACATTCAGAAGGCCAATTAATAAAAAACTATAAAGCTCTTTATGGGCCGTAAAGCAACTCCCTCCTCTCCCAGTACACTACTAAAGACAAAAGGAGTTCTCAGGGTGTATATGGTGTAGATATGCTGAGCTCCTACTGGAAGAGATGTAATGCTAAGTGGCAAAGGAGAATTCAAGGGAAGGCTTAAAAGAACACTGATTTTATTGCTATGTTAAGTCAACTATATACACTTTTCTTTTGCAAATATTTACTAATGTATTTTGACAATGAACGAATGTTTTACTGCAATCTAGTCAAAACAGTTTGAAGAGATACAGCTCAAAGCTGCAACATGATTAACCAAGTCTGTGGGAACTCCTCATTCATTTCATATAACTTTGATCACTTCAGCAGTGGTACAAATTAACCTGTTTAAACTCAGACAGAACTGGAGCGTTCAGAAAATGAATTACTAGCAATCACCAACCAAAATGCATGCATTTCTCTGTGTCAATGCACAGGAACGTGTCTTCCTCCATTCTTTTAAAAGCATTTTAGTGGTAACATACATGAACCCTCTTGTTGGAATTCGAAGTGATCCTGACAAATTGAAGAAATGTGAAAAAGAAATAAAAAAAATGAAATTCGATCCTATTAAGAGAGGTGTCAAATACAGAATAAGCAATACTGGCTAGGAAGCAAAATGGCACAGAGGATCTTGGGATGAGGGAAAGATCTAACAGGTCACAAAATAAAGTCATCTGTTGCTTGTGTAATACAAATCTAAAAAAAAGAAAAAAGCAAGCAGGTTTTATTTCCAGGTGTATGAACAGGAATGCTATAAACAAGGTGTAGGAGGTGATTACTCAAGCCATTTGATACAGGTAAAGATTTAGCTGGAGAAATATTTCCAGCTTCAGGGACCACCCTTCAAAAAGTAAAAGGGAGTGTGTCCCAGGGAGACAATAGAGAAGCTGACATGATATCCCTGGCAGTGTTCAAGGCCAGGTTGGACAGCGCCTTGGGTGACACTGTCTAGAGTAAGGTGTCCCTGCCTATGGCAGGGGGGTTGGAACAAGATGATCTTAAGGTCCTTTCCAACCCTAACCATTCCATGATTCTATGATCCAGAAGATCATATGTTAGCTTAGAAGAAGAATGTGTTAGTGATAAATTATTCTTTGTGACAACCTGAAAAGCAATAAGAAAGAAGCATCTTAATTCACAGAAAAGAAAATTTAGGGTGGATTTTAGACAAGCCCTTTCTAACTTCGTTCAACACCTTTGGAGGTTTTTAAACACAGTTGTTGGCAGGAATCTAGGTATAATTAGTGCTGTACCAGTGCAATGGCTACACTTGAGCTCTTGAATCCCTTCCATACCTACTTTTGTATTATTCTGACACCCAATGCCTTGGTTTGCAAGTGCTCCATGTCTAGGAAAGCAAGTAAGAAATCTTGAGGCAAATAGGAGTGCAAAAATGAGGATTTGGAGAGAGTCTTATCAAATAATCTGGTAAATTAGTCTCAAAAATCAACGTGCCTTTGCTATGTAATGAAATTACTCATGTGTATCAGTTAAGGAGCATTTACAGGGGAAGGTCTTACAGGCTAAGAACTCTGCATCTGTCCCTTTTCACCACTTACGCCAAATAAATTCAAAATAACTCCCTGTTTTTAAGGAGTTATGCTGGATTATCACACTTCAGATGAGAACTGAATAGGGATGAAAAAAATACAATGAGCAACACCAGTGGTCCTGTCTTTTCACAGTGAAAAAGCTCATTCTCTGCCAAGAGCAGTTAGATGTGCTATGCATGGACGGAAATTACGTATTGTAATAGAGTTCCTTTAAATTACCATCCCCAGAACAAACCTGGCATGTCGGATAGAAGCAATTGCACTACTGAATTCACTGTCAATGCTTCTACAGTTGTAAAATTCTTCATAGGCTGGTCTGGAAGAGCCTTGATATTCAATGCGGCTGATACGACATATTCCCACAATCAGAATGATCAGCATCAGGACAAATGCCACGCAAAGAGCCCCAATTATGATGTAGAGGGAGTGACGAGGCATATTTGTTAGACTCTCTGCCATATGCCCGGACTTCCACTGCAGATCTGCTGATAAGAAAAAAAAGGTTATCATTAATTAGCAATTTATATCCTTCCTGCTGAATAGAATTCTTTCCTGATATTCACTTTCAGTATTTCTGTGGAGACTTTTGAAGCTAGGGCGATATGTAATTTGAACCTTCCCAGGCTCTGTTACGGATATGTCACCATGCCTAACACGCAACAAATCTGAATAGCACTACCTTGATCCTCCACCCACCTTTTTTTGTAAATTTCACAGGAATACTTACCCAGTTTCATCTCCTGTGTAACCCAAGTCATAGAAAGTCACGCAGTTAGTCTTGTATTATGTTATAATATATTATAGGCTCTCTAAAGGCAGGCAGGTTTTATCTAAAAGCTTCCAGTAATCCACTGATTCTCTGTGCAGTTTGTTCTAATAGTTGGTGAACCCATCCACTAAAATGTGGGATTTAATATGTATTAAACATGCTTGGTTTTTATTTTGAAACACAGGCTTTTGTTATGCCTATATCCACTACACTGCAGAGAGTTCAAAACCAGCATTTCAAGAACAAAAGGGGCATCTCATAAGGTACTACAGTTCTGAGCTTACTGGAGTCCTCTCTCAAGCATAGTTTCCCTGAGAGGTCTCAAAGCAGAGCTTAAAATAAAGCAATTCTGGAAGAGGATTCTTATATTTATGTATGCCAGACCTTCTTTAAAAATATTCTTGATGCCCAAACTATTGTCTATCAGTGCCAAACAAATTGTCAATCGATTACTTATGTTCTCAGATCTGTTTTTCTCTAGCATAGGTCAGAGTATTTCTATTAACCTGTACTTCCCTCTAGAGTTCATTTTTGGCAGTCTTTTAAGCCTATGGTCTTGTAAATTATTTCAAACCAGGAACAAACTTGAATCATTCTGACTACAGAAATCTGACAGACTGCAAAAGTTATTTCTAGCAGGTGACTGTTCCTTTTTCAAATGGACTTCTGCTTTGCACTGGTTTAGAAACTTCCTTTATTTATTCACAGACATTCTGGGAACAGGACTAGCAAGCATGTGCTTTGAGAATGTTAAGATATTCTTAGATGTCAGTTCTCGGGGACGCTCAGTGATGGCAGAGAACTGATTCAAGCACCTGACCTGTAATCTCAAGTTTAGTGGCATCTGTGGATATAACCTCCATCTATGGTAGAAATACAGGGGAACATATAAGTACAGAAAATAAATAAAAAAAAAAATCCATTTGAGAGGAAGGTAGGGAGAAAGCCTGAAGCTGTAACATGTGGGATTCATCTGGGCAGAGGTTGAAGAAGTGGTTGCTCTTTGTTTACAACACTAAAGGTTGTCTCAGAGCACCTCTGAGTTTGGGTTTGCTTAGACTTTTCGTCCACAAATGTGAGGTGAATTTAAAGGACTGACTGCCTGTTGGTCTTATCTTCTATCAGTAAAGATTTGATCAGCCTGAATCATTCAGTGATTTAATGTTTCTAAAGTGATGTTACTGCAATATGCCCAGTTAGGATGCAAGGGAAAGAATATAGCTGTGCTCTGTTCCATTTTGAGATGGGTTTCTATTTCCGTTCTGCAGCACATTCGTCACACATGGTTTCTGTCAAGTTGTCAGACTAGGCCAAAATCAGATCTACTGTGCACAGATATATGGTAAGACAGTTCTTATTTAGATTCTGTGTCTTCTACCTCTGGCTGATAAGGGTGAGAGAAATTTCTTCCTTTCTTCCTCACCAGATAAAAATTTGAAGATTAACAGCTTATACTCCAAAGATTAGAAAGAATACATGACAGCTCAAAATCACAGTATTCTCAGGTGTCATAGTAATGTTTGTAAAATTAATTGAAAATGAGATTTCAATGTCAGGTACACGGTCTGTACTAGAAATTCTTCATAATGTTAGTTTTCAAGTAACCACATGGTTTGCCCTACCTTGGTAACTACATTAATAGTTACAAAAGTGGCAAAGGTAATGATATTAGTAAATAACCAGCAGGCATTAGAGAATTCATATGAGACATTTTGTAAGCATTTTTACAGTGAATGCTTCATTAACTTTTAAGGCAAATACATTTCATTTTGAAAGGAAAAATATCCTCTTTATAATTAAGACCAATTTAATCCTATGTAATTGGAATTGCTAACAGTGGTAAGGACCATAAGATGATATAATAAATATCACAGTTCATCCAGGCAACATGAATCTTGTCTAGTTTTTTGTATATAGAGCACTTGAAAATTAAAGAGTACGTTTTGACAAGATAACCCTGAAATCCCATTAGTCACTGGTGAAAAAAATGGGGAACCATTAAAATAGTAAATAGAGAGTCATTCTACAAAAAAGGCTAAGTTTTAACAGCCTCCTTGATGGCTAGTAATAGAAAATCATGAAAGATAAAATGTGATCTGTTTACTCAAAGAACTCCTGAAACACCAGTTTGTCTTCCTCTTGAGAAGCCTTAAGTCTCACTTCATTATGTCATTTTCCAGCGCTCAGAGGGACAGCCCAATACACAGGAGGTCACAGTATGCAATGTTTAAATTTAATTTCCAATACATTATTAAACATTATGTACCAATTGCTGAAACAATATGTTAAATATGACGAGAAGGTACGAAAAGATGAACAGCAGCAGACTCAGTCTTTAGAACTGAACAGAAATCCACTGCACCACTGACTCAACTCCAGTAAGATCGCAAGTGCTGCACCTATGTATAAAAGAGTTGGATATGGCCTTTCTAGGCATGATTAGAATTGGGTTTACATCAGTTGGTCAACTGGTAGATTAGGGAAAGCCAGTGAGTGCAAAGATATTCCCATGGACACATAGTTCTGTAGAAAAATGTGCATATCAAAATGCTTTTAAATCCTTTCTACAAAGTGATTTCTTCAAAATTCAATCCTTCTCTGTTTGCATAATCCTTTATATACTTGTTAAGATCCAAGCAATTTAGAAAAGTTTCTACAGCTTTGTGTATAAGCCCCTGCATTGGTTAGCAAGGCTGGATATCCACACTTCTATCTGACTATTGTGAAGTATCATGGTGTCCCATAACAACACATCATTTTACTTTGATGCTGTGCCAAAGTGACATTTGCAGATGTTAAGCTTATTGAAGAAACTATTGTTAACCTTCAAGTTTTAAGCTTAACTGTACTTTAAAATGTATCTTTATGAGACTACACAAAGATTTTTTTTCCATTTTCATCCAAGACAAATCCAGATCAGAATTTCCTAGATTTTTTTCTCTCTCTCATATTATTTTTGCATATATGCACTCTATTAGCTATCCTGATTTGTTGAATAAAAAAACCCCAACACAGTAATTTCAACCTCTTCAACTAGGAACAATTGCCATGAACAATACTATAAAACTTACTCTTCAGATATTGAGATGGAAATAAAAGGTCTAATGTTTCTGGTTGAGAATCAGCCTTGCAGTGTTATCAGTGCCAGTTAACACTCAGATAATTCCCTGCTTCCTGTCATAGCAGTCACAAGATAAAAGAACAAATCAGTCAGTAAAAGCAACAGAAAAAGTGCAGTTGCTTCTTCCCATCATTTTAACTTACACAGTTTGCAAGTGTGTACTACAAGCAGAAAATCCAAGTTCTTGAGCAGCAGGCAAGGCCACTGCACTTCAACTATGAACAGGTGCTATGTGCAGAGAAATAAGCACTAAGCAGAGAATCCCCTTGCTCAAGAGAGCAAAGTTTAAGCAGAGTTTTATCCACTGTCTCTCTCATACACTTGCAAAAGTGTACAAGGTCAGAAAAAAGTTTATATTGACTAACCACAGATGTAAGCTTGAAGCTGCCTGTCATATATAGTGCTTAGGAGCATGCATCCCTTGTCGGGGAAAACAGGAATAGTTGAATAGCTGGACAGTAGAAAAGGCTCCTTTCACAATCTGCTCTGCTTCTCTCACTTTCCCTTATATTTATATGCACCTTAGTGTGTATCTGTGGTGCAAACAGCGGAACTCTTAGTAACTAGAGCATGTCAGCCAAAGAACTCCAGAACAAGCATCACTGAGCCCTGCAGATGGGCTATATGAAATCAGAAAACACACAAGCTCGTCTGTTTCCCTTTGGCATCTATTCATTCTATAACATAACAGGATGTAACTGTTACTACATTGAAGTACTCCAGGAAATACGTTTCCAGGATGTTACTGCTTTCTCCAACAACTATACTCACCTCTCTCATCAGCCCACTACTTATTAGCTAAGACAGACAGAATTGCATTGCCTTCTGATCAACTTGGGCATCCATGTTTCAGGTATCACTAACGGCAGCCTTGGCAGTAAAAGCTCACCTGAGCATCTTTTAGCATGAGCAATACGGCATACACACAGCACTCACCATCACACTCCCAACATTCCAATGGCTCTGCACCATGCAGGGAAGTGTGGGCGCCATTCACAGAGACAACAAAATGGCAGAGCTGCCACCATCTTTGGCCTAGCTAGCAATGCTCCTCTGCAGTCTTTGCTTTCAACAGAAAGCGCTGAAACTGAATTCACAACAAACCATTACAGGGAGAGGAGGTCATAAACCTGCCAAGGTAAAACTTTTGCATCAGCCCAGGCGTGAACAGAGCTGTCTTCCAGATTAAAGTTCCACAGCTGGGCTTCATACTTTCTTCCTCTCATGGACCCTCTGCTGCTCCATAAGGGTGCAATTAACGCTGAAGCTTTTCCCTATACTAAGAGGCAAGGTAACACTGAAGCTGTTCCTTCAATAGACCCAGCAGTGGAACCTCTCTAAATCTTAGTAAATGCTTAGGAAACATTTTGTTTTGGAGACCTTTGCCCTTCTAATGGTTTTGGTGGAAATTAGCCTGTGGTTGAAAAGTTATTCCTGGAAAAGCTGGTAAGTGCATGCACACCCATGTTACAGCACAACTACAGAGGACTTGTTTCCTTAGGTAAGCAGGTTCAAAACTGTTCTGCTGAAACACCACTAGAATTGCAGGTGCTCAGAAGCCAATACAAGCCTGTTAGGACCGTAAACTCAGAAACATAAGTGCAATTAGAGGCAGGCAATTTAGATGTTAAAGACAAACTGCTTAGTGTCCAGCTGTAAGATAGCATCTCTGACAGTCTAGTCCAACACATTCCAAAGCAGGTTGCTCAGAAAAATAATGGCCTAACTTTCATGGCCACTTTTGAAATGTTATGGCCTCAAATAAAATGCATTTAACAGAATTTTGGTATCTTACAGATGATTCAGAGTATTTGTGCAGATATGTATTCAGAGACAATTTCTCCATTATAATGTATCACTTTTAGAAATATTTAGAAAAGTACAAAACTTACGTATTTCGCAGTTTGCACCGACCCATCCATGTGGACAATGGCAAGTGTAACCACCAGGCTGATCTATGCAAGTCCCAGCATGGTGACATGGGTTGCTGTCACAGTCATTTACATCAATTTCACAATCTTCACCTTATATCAGAAAAAAAAACCAACAAAGCTCAAACTTCTATATAGTGAGTGCCTCATGTAGCAGGTACATCATCAGTCATTTCATTTCTCTCTAGCTGCAAAACACTTTATAGTTCAATAGCATCTTTATTCTCAGAACATCAAGTGTTCTGTAACTGTTTCAAGAAGAGTCTCACATAGCCTCCAAGAAGGAAGCATTATCCTCATTCATCCAGGTGAGGACTACCCTCACCCAAACCACATGTCTTATTTCTTTAAATATAAGCTCCATTCCAAGAAAATGTGGTATGACAATTTATCATGTATATTCTGAAGTGCTATACAACAATGTATTGCTGAGAAACAGCCACTGTTCAATGGAAACCTAATTCTTTATAAAAAATTGCCTGTTAACTAGCACAGATCAAAAAGCATTATTGTTTTTTGACCAGCTATGAAAGGGTTTATCTTTTACTATCACATTGGATATTACCTCACATGACTAACAGAGCATCAGGTTGCAAATTACCTTGACAGCAGGTATTTGGATTACACCAACCATGTCAGTTTAAATACAAGGCTAAAGGATGAAATGGGCTGCTTACCATTCCTCTGGAAGTGTAAATTGGTCCATAATGAGCACTTTGGGTTTTTAGCAATTGCATATTGAGGTCATGACTAAGTTGTTTCGTCAGCTCACAGTAATTAAGGTCAATGTTAAAAGATTTCCCAGTTTCAACAGTGTCCAATTAGTATATTAGCTTACCTGGAAGTCTTCAAAATGTTATTTTTAAAATGGAATCTAGTCTCAAGCAGTAAGGTCATGAGGTATGTTAAATAGTTGTTAGCTTAATGAATACTCTTTTTTTGTTTGCATGTTTTTTCTGCAAATTTTTTCAAGTTCAAAGCAGTTGCAAGTAGTATCAAGAACTTTTCATTCTCACTAGCCTGATTACAATTCAGCAAAGTCCAAATTCATTTCTTTCCTTGATGAAACACAGTCTTAATTGGTATGTGTCTTCTTCTGGACACAGTTAACACTGCCAACTAGATCTTCTGTGTAATGTAACAAATTACTTGCCTGTATATCCAGGTGCACAGATACATGTAGCATTTAGACCTTCACTGTCACAAGTCCCACCGTTCTGACAGTTGATGTTAAGACAAGGATCTTTGTACAGTTCACAGTGCCTTCCTGAAAAGGTGAAATTAGTAACTGCCATTAACATGACATACACTGACAGCATGAAATCAGTACACGCAATAACTTAATTTCACCTGGATGAGCACAATGATGTGCACCCTCTAAACCTGTCCTATTAGGCAAATGCCATAAGATTAAAGCCATATATTTTATGGTGCTTAAACTTTTTACATACATGCCTCCTCTCTGCTCTTCCCACACACTGAGACTTTGGGATAAGAAAGGTAGGAAAATTTCTGCTTACAAGAACTGCTGGAGTGCCTATGAAAAATCAGTGGTATAATAAAGCATAATCTGATCAGCTATCTAATATTCTTAAACAAAATGTAAACAACAGACTTCAGTAGGAATTTTATGTAATAACTTATTTAATGATACACATACACATTCTGATGCCTCTCGAATTTTTCAGGAAACTGAGTATAACTAAGCAATAAAAAGAGAAATTAATTTGTTCAGATGTATAGCTAAAACTAAATAATTGGGTGGCTCAACTTCATGCGACTACCTTTGTTCTTTCAGTTTCAGGTGTAGTCTATGTGAATTCAGTGGCTTTGTGCTGCAGAAGACAGTGCAAACCATATGTGGCAAACAGAACATAAAGCACAGGAAACTCCCACCTGGAGATGGGGACATGGGCTCTACTGGCACTGCTACATGCATCTTTTTCTCTGGAGCTACTTTTCAGATAAAACCAGAAAAACAAATGCATGACTGATCTGATCAATGCATGGATGAAAAGTAAATGTACGTATGTGAATAATGAATGATTGGTGGGACTTTGTTTATAATGTATCTAGTACAGTGAAATTAGCTTGCATTTAACGTACCTGCTTAATCCAGTAATGTAAGTTTTAAGTCTAAATCTAAGTATTATTACAATCCTTTGCTTGGGAATGAATCCAAAGTGACCACTTAGCTAAAATCTTAAACTGTCTCCCAAGTTTTTGCATTATACTTTTTTCAAGAATTTCAACAAACTGAAGAGCGGAACAGATTTTTAAATGCTTCCATGTGATAACACTTAAAAATTACAAACACATTTTTCACTTTTTAAGGTTGTTCACGTTTCTAAATCCTTACTGCCCCGCAAACTATAAAGATGCATAGTCAATAGGAGCATTAAATCATATTAAGTGTAAAAACTGCAATGCAGCTTTGGCATCAGGAAATGTTTCTAAGCATGAGGTAGTGAATGACAGTAAAGGAATTGTGTTGCTTGTGGAGGTTACAGAAGCTATTATGATGGAGAACGGGAATAGGTTAGAATATATGTGAAAAGTAGACATGCATCTGATCCTGCCTTATTCCTGCCCAACCTCTTTCATTAATATAGTTGTGTTCCCCTGGAATGGGGTAGTTTGTGAATTTGTATTTGGAGAGTATGAGATGCAGAACTATAGAGAGGTAAAATTAATGAGAAAATAGAGTCTTTAGAGAAAAGAATATGAGAAAGAAAATCAGTACCAAAAAAAGGAAGAAATTGGACACATCAGGCATATGTACACAACAAATTTATTTTATGAGTGAGTGATTAAAAGGAATGAACTTAATTCTCTGGTATTCAACACTGCAGTTATGTACAGCAATGCAAGCTTACATAAGTTATATTTTTTAAATTCTATTTTAAAAAATCCTGTAAGTTAATTGTGATAATTAAAAAAATACATAAAAGCAACTTATTTAAAATGCATGTAGCTTTTATTTACATATGTACATACACACACACACACACACACACACACACACACACACACTCACTACAGACCTACTGAAATCATTTGGTCAGTCTGTCAGCAGCAAAAAGGCAGAGCACTCTGAGCATCCTGCAGAGAAGCAGCAGAAGCCAGCAGAGCCAAGAGCCTGCAGGTACATGCTGGCATACACTTCAGTCCAGACAACTGATGACAAGCGATAACAGCTCTTGTCTATGTGCCAGCCTGGGGGGTATGGAGGCAGAAGTGGGGACTGCAGATAGGGGGGCTGGGTTGGTGGTAGCAAAATTGAGGCCTCTAATGGCCTACGTATTATCTTGAGCTGAGTACCTCAGCTCTATTCATTAGTGCCACTGAATACCTTAAGTGCTGGGATGAAGAAAGCTCAGTAATCAGCAAAAACTGCTTATGGGACGAGGTCCCCTGCTTTCATTAAAAGCAAAGTGTGCTGCACACACAGTGCTTTTAGCTGAATGTACAGGTTGGATGAGAACAGAACATGAAGTCATAACATTGTGGTTAAGTGATCTTTAAACTGTCATGAAAAGCTGAGGGTCATTTCCTCACTAAGACTCTAAAATGATTAAGTCTGTATCTGTTGTCAAACAGCAGTGAATTAACCAACATGAAATACGTATTTAGCCTCAAGCAGTTGTTAAGTGAGCATTACATATCAACACAGATAAGGACTGATATACTTAATGAAAAAATGGGGTAATGTTCCTTAAAACATAGTCATTGTATCTAAAAAAAAATACATATATTAATACTAATACCATATAAAATTACATTCAAAATGCTCTCTCAGCATGATTCAAAAGAGAATACACCAAAAAGTATCAGTTCAGCCCTCCACAGAAGGACATGTCACAGACAGCAGATACATGCTACTCTGTGTAAAGCTGAAATCCACTGCAAGAGAACAGATTTTGTGTATCAAAACACATAATTTTTTCCTCTATTTTATAAATTATTTGAGAAATGCCAGAGACCAATTCCATTTGGATGTATCTAGGAATACATGCAGATAACATGGGAAAGCAGTCACAGACCTACTACTGTCTCTTGGCTTTATGGTCTTCTAAATGAACAATCAACATAAAGCTTTCATATTTACTCTGTTATGCTAATCTGTTTCAAATACTAACATTTTATTACTAAGTTTTTAATTCACTTCACCAGAGAAAATAAACAAAAACAGGAATTTGAAAGGCCTCCATGTAATGGCTCCTCACAATAACTGATGAAAATATGTATTTACCTGTTAAATATGTATGTTACCTTTTAAAAACTCATCACCTTCTAACGTATCTTACAAACAGCAGAAAATAAGTACACATAAGAAGAACAGAGAGAAGCCATTTGTCCCCCGACAAGGACATGCATTCCTCACAGATCCACTAAACTACTCATTTGAATAAAGATTAGAGGATCGGGATCTACATTGATGTTTCTTTCTGTTAATTTTAGACGTGGGATTTATTTCTGCTCAGTGAAGGATATTATATATCTCTGTCTGTAACAGAAACAAGACACAAACCCCATCCTACCTTCATATTCAGCAAGGCACACGCACTCATAACTGTTGACGAGGTCTCTGCAGGTGGCTCCATTCTGGCAGGGTGCAGAAAGACATTCGTTATATTCCTCTTCGCAGTAAAGGCCATGGTAACCTAAATCACACAAAGAGGAAATAAAACAAGCTGTGAAACACTTGCCAGTAAAATTTTACAATTAGGCAACTACAGACTGTGGGCAGATGCTTGGTAATTGAAATACGCTGCACAGACAGGTACATGTTAAGATACTGATTTTGAGGACATCTCCCCAGGTGAAAATTACCAAAAAGAAAAAAAAAAAAACAAACAAACCCAAAAACACAACCAAAAAAAAAAAACAAACACCAAAACCCTGGAAGCACAATATTCTGAGAGAAGTCCCAGATGTTGCCCCTGCAACAAACCACAGCAAGGCCATGAGCACGGAGACTGGTGACCAAGGCCACCAGGAACAATGAGAATACCCACGCTCTAACTGTAAAAAGGAATAGTCTAAGAGTATAGACGTATCTCCTGTCTTTCTTGGATCCTTGCATCAAAGCCACTTTTCATCAAAGTGGTGATAATTGTGTAACAGTAGTTAGAATGATAATATATTTGAACTTAATGCTGTAAAATGTCAAAACACTGTAGAAGCATTAAGATACTTAATTTTTTACAATATTCCCAAGATGTAGGCAGGTGTTACGGCCCGATTATGCAGACATAGAAAATAGGAGCAAAGGAAAACTACAAGACTTGTTAATGGCCACTGTCATTTATACCATTTGGTTAAGAAATAACGAGTTAATCCACCTGACATAGCACTTCTCTCATTATTTAGTCTGCCATATGATCATTAGTCTTAACAGTAGTTGAAATTACATACTAGGCATAGTATATCAGGTCTAAGTAGTACCTACTCATATGAATAACAGCATTCATTAGATTCATGTAACAGGAAATAAATACCTGTAATGCTAAAATATGTTTGCCTGATAATATTGGTTACTTGGTATTAAATATGAGGAATCATAAGCCTGGTCATCTTGAAGACTATTGTATTTGATACCAAGAAACTTATTTAATTCCTCTTCAACAGTCCAGGTATATACTTCTCTTAACGAAAAGCTTCCTCTCCTTTATTGTTGCTTTTTTCTTTTCTTTTGTTTTTTTCTTCCTTTTTTTTTTTTTAATCTTTCTTGAGGTGGGGCCTTTCCAACTCCAGAAACAATGTCTAAATTTACAGGCAATTAGTACATCAACAAGAAAAAAAAGAAAATTGATTGGTCATAATGCTTAGTAAGCACAAATAATGCATTTAAATGCAATATGAACACTGCTTTCTTCCTGACATACAAGCACAGAAGAATTATAAAACTGCTAGTGTGTTTGACTAATGAAAAGAGTACTAGGCAATTCGCTTGAGTCTTTCTAAGTAGTTGTTTCCCCCTCTTTGGGGATACAGGGAGTGCTTCATAATTAGACAAATTAAATTCTGAACCTTCCCGTAAAGGTAATAGATTAAACAGAATATGTTGTTATCTTTTTGAAAGTAGGAATAGTACAGGTATTTCTACTAAACCATGCATCTTTCAAAATGTTTAATCCTTTCCTGGAAATTACAGCAAACAACTGAGTGACCAGACTTTTGCATTTTCTACATCTCTTCAACTGTTAGCTACATGCTGTTATTAACTGCAAATCATAGCATCAGACTTGGGGCATCACACAGGCCACCTCCCTCTCAAGCAAATCAAAGACCACACAGTTAACATCATCTGAACTGGCTGGATAATTAAAACTAATTAGTGTTTTAGATGTTTAAGAAAATGGTTTGGCTGCATGAAACCACAACACCATCTCTTCTTTACCCATCCATGAAAAGATGAAGATGGAAATTCTAGCCGATACTACTTTCCACAGGGTAACACCAGAGACACCTTATACACAGTGGTTACTGAACACTTCCCTGTTGGGCTGTTATTTTATATTTGCCTAGTACTGAAGAAAAAAAAACCCAAACCATAGACTAGGAAATTTTTGTTTGTTTTAAACAACATCCTGTCTCTATTTGTCAAATTTTCTCAGTGCTTGAAATTTCATTCTGATGAAGTCTACATTGCACTTTTAAGAAGGCAGTTTCAAATATGCTTTCATATTAAAAACACAGGTTTACAAAGAATAGTCATACTGAGAAGATGTGCTGTGCATGTTAACAGTAGATAAGGACACTTGTCCTGCCCAAACCCTGGATTAATTTTGGTTAAATCTGTTAAACATTTCACCTTCTTGACTCGTCATAGCAAATATTCCCATTGACCTCCTGTTATTGTGATATAATACATCTAATATGTACTTGTAATCTATACTATCATACCATACACTGGAACAGCTTTTATATACTTTTAAAAAAAATCTTAATTTACTCATTACATATAGCTATAAAAGCAATAGATAAATAAGATACAGTGAATGAAGATGCAATGGGTATGAATAAAGATGCCAAGGAAAAGGCCTAAAAAACAGATCTAGATTCTGCAGTGTGATTTTACTACTTCAGAAAATCTCCAGTTAGAAGCAAAACTTATAGGCATGAAATGAGGATATCTTACATGAACAAAGAACCAAAGTGACGGGCATATTCTCAGTGGTAATCTCTATTCACTCTCCTGGTCTAAATTTCAAAAAAAATGCTCAGAGAACCATAGAAAGACAACAAATGCCACCTTCACTCACCATTTTCTTCCCCCTTCCCCTCCATTATGTATAATTCAAAATAAAACTGTGTGAGGACATGTCAGTATTGCACAAGATGTATATGCAATATTACCCATTTGATTCTTCACAAAATTGTCTTTTCATAGGAAATAGTTGAATGCAGCTTATTAAGAAACACCTCTGAACCACTTTCTCCAAAGCTGTTAGCCAGGCAATACAGAATTCATTATGCTAAATGTTATGGGTTTTCTTATTAGCATGTAATGTTATCTAGCTTATGATGAAGAGAATTATCCCTATGTAGTGACAGCTGTAGCCAACATATAAACCATCAAAATCAGAAAACTTCAAAGAAAAACATATGGGAATTCCCTGTAAAATTTTTCCAGTTCTCACCTTTCAAAGGCAACAGGAGGAACTGTGTGACTGAATAGTTGTCTGGTTTCGGAAATCAATATGAGGCTACCGTATCACCTCTTTAGGATTAGGACAGCCCACGCTACGAGACGCTGCACACAGTGAAGGAAAGATATTTTCTCTCTCCACGAGAGGGCAGATGTCGCCCACACACGATTTCACCCTCGACTTCCTCACCTTGGTGCCAGCAGCTTCCTTCTGCTGTAACTGCTGTGATGGAGAAAGTTCTGCTGCAGAACCAGGCACCAGAGGGAAAGGCGCGTTTCTTCCCATGGAGCTGAGAGGCACCATAACATTCCTAACAAGCACTTCTTTTTGTATTTCTGCTTTTAAATTGTATTGCTTTTAAATTGTATTGATATATAAACCATATATTATACTGGATACACACATTTATATTTAAAAAGACTACATAAATAATTTATGTATTTTTGTTAAAGGATTTAGATGGTAACAGGAGAATTCTTCATAGAAAACTTCTGAATAACATATTCCAGTCTAGTCGCTTCCTCTTTTTCTAGTAACATTATGATTCTGCTGCTTCTATGTCCACAAGCGATGCCAAATGCAGCTATCCGCATTTTTTTGTGGTGCATAACATTTCTGTGGACATATTCAGAAAAAAGAAATAATACCTACATTAACTACACCTTTGTCCTAGGTTCCAGCTGCTGTGTCCTAAGCAGGGGAAAAAAAAAAAAACACTCTGGGCATTGCAGCTTCAGAAAGCTTCAACTGATAATAATAGACTTTTTGTTTTCCAGGTCACTAGAAATTGGATATGACTTCAAAAACAGCACCTTCATGAACTCAAGCAGAACTTGCCAGTGATGTTCCCATTCTGATGTGCCCTCTTCAAAGGCTGGGGAATGGACAGGGAACCTAAAAAAACCCAAACCCTTAAAGATGTTCCTATGTTACCTCTTCTCCCTCTACATGACTGTCCCTCTTCTACTGGCCTTTACAAAGCAGAAACAGACCTATTGCCACAGTCCTCTGGATTCCTAAGTCCTTACTTCTGTTTCTTAAACAACAGGGATGCTGCCTTGAAGAGACTAGGGCATTTGCCTGATGCTGCCTGGCATGGTCTTCAGACAGCTACATGCCAAGGTGCACTGTCTTTGCATGTGGCCATGTTAAAAACTCAAAAGGAAGAAACTGGGAAAGGGAGTGTATAATCTGTGTCATACAGGCTGATGAGGAGAAGCTATGGGTTTTGACAAAGCCTTCAACAGCAGTTGACAGAGCAAAAGATATAGCAGTCCAACCTCCAGAGAGTATCTGCACGATTAGATTAACAAAAGAGAAAAGGAGAAGCTTACTCTCCCCTTTATAAATCAATACAGAACAAAGTTGAAAGCTTTCAAGGTTTTCTTAGACATTAGCTCCTCAACAGTGATACCCTGGCTTAACCACACTTAACACCAGCAAACAGAGGCAGCAAGACTAAAATCCCTCTTTATGGGACGGCCTAATGGGATTCAACACAAAAGAACTCTATTTTGCCGTGAACAGCATCAGTTCGTATATATGGCCACTCAGTAATAGAGAATTGCATTTTATATAGTCAAGAAATAAATGTGTTCAGTTAAACTCTGAGCTTATATAGCAATTAAATAAGAGAAAGAGAGAAGAGTTGCTCCAGATGGCAGGAAGGTAGGAAGGAATGCTTACCAGCCATGGCCAGATTGCATAGAGGGTTGTTTTAATGTAGAAGTGGAAACAAGATAAAGAAACAGAAGCTTTATTGCTTCACAGACAGTCTTGAACTGGGATTAACCTAAAGTCTCTTCTTCCAGAGCTTGCATTCCTGCCCCAGTTCCAAACTGTGGGAAGGGAAAAGACAGAGAAAAGAAAAATGGCAACTGCTTCAGACAAATGTTGCACTTGCCTCTGCAAAGGCACCAAGATAAATCTATGTTCCTATAAACATCTATCAAGCTGCATGAGCCAAGAAATCTCCATAGCACTACTTCTCAAGTTGGCACCATTCTTAA